CTTAGTTGCCACTGCATTTCCCAAGTAAATTTGTAAAAATCACATGAACAATACGCTAGCGATATATTTTCATAGTCATTAAAATATAGATGTTTATGCATCACCTAAAATCTTGCATTACACCAGGAGTTATGCATAGCATGTTTTAGAAGCTACTGTTAACGAAGATTTAAGATATGTACAGAAATAACTGACTTTAGAAAGTGCTAACAGCCATTAATTGCTGTGAGCGAGGTATAAACAAATCAGAGAGAGATTAAATGAGGAAGAAATGACTTCCAGGAGCAAAACACATACTTATATCACACACATGCTTACTATGAACAAATATGACAAAGGGCTTTGGCAGAATCTGCCCTTATAAGTGCCGCTGAAAGCCATTATCAACACTTCCTCACTTACCTCATCTTACCCTGTAAAACATCTGCTTCTTCAAAAATAAAGTGCATATTAACTCTTCAACTAGAAGTTAAAAATCATGATTTTCCTTTCAGGGGATAGAAGGATGGGGAAAAAATATGCCTTCTATGACTTTACTAAAAAAATTCCAATGTTAATTAAAACCATATATTTAGTATGGGTAAAGGTAACAAATGGGAATTTCTTGGACAAAACCATGCTCCTCTGTGAATTCAGATTAGCAATGCTGTGTTACTGGCTGACTTTTGAACATTCTGTTCTATTTGAAACAGCTGACACAGCAAGAGAGACTGTATGTCCTACAGAAACCCAGATAGTCCTGATGAGAGAGAGGTCATGAAATGCTTCTACTGTCTACAGAAAGACAGAGAAAATGTTGTGTTAAATTCAGCTTTGAATTCAATTCTAAGTATAAACTTTTAGATGACAGCAAGAGAGACTGTATTTCCTACAGAAACCCAGATAGTCCTGATGAGAGAGAGGTCATGAAATGCTTCTACTGTCTACAGAAGGACAGAGAAAATGTTGTGTTAAATTCAGCTTTGAATTCAATTCTAAGTATAAACTTTTAGATGAGGCTTTGTCCAGTTAGCTTGGTCAGCTTAGTACAATATTACATTATGCTTTCACAATTGTGAACACTGATCCTGCTCAAAATCTCAACAGGTTTCTAGAAATCTGATCATTTTGGTGCTGGTGATTGCCAAAGGAATAAACAGTAGGAGATCAGCTCTATCCCTGGATTTGAAAGAGAATTTGACTTGCCTACTTCCTGCTAACCCTTCCCTCCACCAGCAGTGTGGCCATGCTGGATGTTTCTTTGCTTTCTTACAGAAGCAACAACACAAGAGAAGTCAGTTGCCAACGTGGTTCTGCTTTTCCAACAGTTGTCTATCAACAGTAATACAGTTAGAGCTCTACAACTGAATTGCCAATAGATATCCTTTTCCAACCTGAGATGTGGATAAAACACTTCCCTGTACCTTTTCAGCACAAACCTTTTTTCAAAAGACTCTTGAGCATCTTCCTTTCCTCTGAACTCCCGAGGGGGTTTATTGGGGCCGCCTTTACAGCATTTATCCCTTTCACTTTTGCAGTACAGCTGTTTGTATGAAGACTTTAAAATTCCTAAATGTTGGTAATGATTTTTCTTATGCCATTTTCTTCAGCCCCTAGCACAGTGCCTTGTAGTATGGCAGAAACACAATAAATGTTTGTTGAACACTGTGTTTAGAAAAACGACAAATATGAATATCCTCCAATATAAATAGAAGCTCCAAAAAGGCAGGGATCTTTGTTTTGTTTTGTTCACTGATGTTGGTCCTGTGCACCTAGAAAATTCTTGGCACTCAATAAATATTTGTTGAATGATGGATAAGTTTTACGATTTTCCAAAGAGGTTGAACAGTATTTGATTGGTAAATAAAGAAAAGAAAATATTTCATATAACATGTAAAGGAAAAAATAGTAGATTGTTCACTTCTCCTTTATCTAGACCAGAGGCTGGCAAATTTTTTCTATAGAGGGCCAGATAGTAAATATTTTAGGCCTTGTGGGCCATACGGTTTCTGTTGTAACTACTCAATTCTACTGTTAAGTGCAAAAGTAGCCATAGACAACATGCAAATATATGAGTGTGGCTGTATTCCAATAAAAATTTATTTGCAAAAAGAGTTGGTGGGCAAGATTTGGCCCATGGGCAGTTTGCCCACCTCTGTTCTAGAACAATGGTGTAAGAATTATGTTAGAATTAAAATGACTAGGTAGCTATTCTCTCCTTGAAGAACTTCTTTCTACTTTTTATATGTCTGTCCCCCACCTCTACCCCCACCAGTAGTACACTGTTTTGCAATATGGTAGCTGTACAGTATATGTGTGCTGAATCAAACTGAATCCTACACAAACTGATTCCCTGGAACCACAGTTTTCAGTAGAACCAGTGAACTCAAGCCCCTGTAATGTGCCTTTTCTTTGAACTCTGTCTTAGCAAAATGTGGGGGAAATTAATAGCTGCTCAAATAATATGTCTTCCAAAACTGATGTAGCAGATGGGGTATCTTCTCTCTTGATATAAAAAGTTCCTATTGCTCTTATTTGAAGCATTTTCTTCAGGATGTCAATGATTAACCAGAGGTAGCTCTTCTGATTATCCACAAAGCCAAGAAATAATGAACATAACTTTTTCAGAACCCATCTAAGCTCACGCTTCTTTTGAAGCTGCCTCCCCCTCAGTTTTTATAAATAACTTATTTTCATAAAAAGCATATGAAAAAATGACCATTGCTATCTAAAACTGGCAAAAATGTGTTCCCACATTTTCCTCTCCAATGACTACGAAAAATGTGGTATTTCCATGAGTTCTGTGTTAAATTAGTACATTACTTCAGGCCAGGCATTAGTCAATATATTCATCAACGAAATGAATCAAAGTTTTCAAATGTCTAAGTAGTATTAATGTGGGGTTATACCATCATAAATGTGCTCTGTGGTCCTACCCTATACTTGTACTACCTACTTGCAAAATTTTCAAACTTATTTCCCATTTTGCCAAGTATTGACCTCTCTTACAAACCAGACTTAATTTCTTCTTCAACTGCAAATGTAATTTTAAGCAGAACACCAATGAGATTATTTGCTGAACATGTTAAACATTCATAGCTTTGCCAAATGCTGTTATGGAAATTGCACTGATTTATTGCAATTTGGGTACTACTAGATAGCACTGATTCACCCGATACCAAATATAACTGTATTGGGAAATAATGTTTTAAATGATTCATTTGCATCTAGACCTCTGTTGAACTAAGAGGCATGCATTTATATATTTTTGGAGAAAACCGACATTTACATATTAAAAATATAGTCCTACATTTGGTGACTTCTACAAAAATTAAGCCATATCAGGTCTATATTTATAATGTAATAACCTAGTGGTCAAGGACATAGATACTGAAGACAGGAAGATCTAGGTTTTAATCCTGATTCAACCATTTAGTTACTCTACAATCTTGCTTTCTTCAGTGGTAAAAGAGGAAAAATAATGGTGCCAACCTGACAGGGTTGCTGCGAAGATTAAATATAATAATGTGCATAAGGCGTGCAACACAAAAAGAAAAGAGCAATTTCATGTGGTTTATTCTAATATATGCTCAATAATTACTAATTATTATTAGCTCTTGTTTCTTAAACCTTGTGTTTCTGTTTAAGGTTAGTGGCATTCCACTAAACGGTGGAGAAATGCTTGAGTATATTTCACCTGATGGGAATGTTAGAAGATCATTTAGGGAACTTGAAAATTGCCATACTAGATAAGGTCACTATTATAGTCAATAGTACCAACCTATAAACAACAAAGGTAAAAAGGAACAAAGCCACAGGATGTCTTCTTCACAGTAAGAGTACCACTAATGGCATAACTGTGTTAATTTTTGTTTGGGATGGAGAAAGTGTAATGCTCATTTTAAGCATGCTAGGGAGGACTTATGGATGTGAGCACTGCCCTTACATCCACTGAGTGTTCTATTCAAGTACATCCAGAGTAGGAAAAAAGCTTCTCAGAATAATTATATTTGGCTGTAATAAGTGAGTACATACAGTCTAATGAATAATTCACACATATTAAAGTTTGTAAGAATATAAAAAATCCAGATAGCCATTAGCTTCTTTTTTTTTAATTGACTTGGAGTGCACATTAAAATGTAGATGGATTCTCTCTAGGTCATCGTTCCCAATGAGGGGCAATTTTGCCTCCAGAGGTTATTTGGCAATGTCTGAAGATATTTTCGGATGTCACAACTCAGGATGGGGCATGCTACTGGCATCTAGTGAGTAGACTCTAGGAATGTGGCTAGACATCCTACAATGCATAAGACAGCCTCTGCAACAGAGAATTATCTGGCCCCAAATGTCAGTAATGTTGAGATTGAGAAACCCTGCTCTACCCTAAAAGCTGTTCAGGACCAAATGGGTTTAAAATCACCCACACCCCAGATGGACATTGCATAGGTTCTAGGGAATGATATGCTTTCTGTCAATATAGTCAGATCTTCCCAGTAACCTGTGTTGGTTCCATGTTAATGAAGAATAAGCTGAAGTTTTCATATGGAGTTCACATCCTCAGGAAAAGAATGACCAGAAATGCAAAGCCTAGTTTACAAAGTACTACACTTTACTTGACCGACAGGAGATGTCAGTGCTGAGAGGAGCTGAACTTACACATAGAGTAGGGCAACCATCCACACTAAGACTTTGACCAACCCACGGACCAGGGGTTTCCTGGCTCAGGTTTTCTTAAGCAGTGTCAATTTCCATAGACAAACAACATACTGAGCAACAGTGGTGCAGACCTAAGGCTTAGTTCCCAGGCAGAAAGTTATAAGCACAGTCTTTGGATTTTTATTGTCTACTCCCATGGAATTGAAGATCTATTTCATATATCAAGGATAATCTTTCCTTTCACAAGTGCCCTTACACAACCACCACACAAGTGCCCTTATGCAAAAATGGCTGCTGAAGAGGTTGCAGCCTTAAGCGTGGATAATGCTTAAAGATTTTTAAAAAAAATGTATAAAGAAAATTACTTTGAAGCTTTTGATTCTGTACTTGGTGTCAACTCGGCGCTGCTGAAGAGAATCTCCGTGAACTCTATATTTAGAATATCTCTCATCAATTCTGTCGGATAAACTGCGGGAATCCTGGAAAAGCAACAAAGGGTCTGAACTGGTGGATGAAAAACAGATCAGTGCTTGAAATTAGAATAAAAGAATGCTGATATGTAGGTAATAAATAACTATAGGCATTCAGAAAGATATATAGGGGAATTATAGGCCACCAGAAAAAGAAAATGGTCACTGTAGATGCTATCATAAAAATAATATGGATCCCACATATAAGTTTGTGAAAATAAAAGAATAAACACAACTAGTGCTTATTATTTTCACAACTAGTCCCCATGGCAATCTGAGATGACTGGCACACTTTAGGAAAAGGTTCAAGTAAGAATGAGTTGTCTAAAGATGGGCATTAATGACATGGTGCCACTTTGGATGCTGTGTACTTTCCCTGCGAGTAGCACTTGGCATCAAAATATTCTCCTTGTTGGGGCCGGCCCAGTGGTGCACTGCTACAGTGCGCCGCTTGGGAGCGCGGTGGCGCTCCCGCCGAGGGTTCGGATCCCACATACAGACCGGTTCCCGCTCACTGGCTGAGCGAGGTGCGGGCGCAACACCGAGGGCTGCGATCCCGTTGCCGGTCCCGGTCCAGTACAGGCACGACGCTGAGGGTTGTGATCCGTTGCCGGTCACGAAAAAAGACAAAAAGGAAAAAAAAAATATTCTCCTTGTTGAAAAAAAAAAAAAAATGCTACCTTTAAAACTAGAGCCCTTTACTTCACTTATCCTTAAACAACATTCTACCTTTTAACTATTATATCACAGAGATTTTTAAACTTAAGGATATCTCATCTGCCCTTATAAGCATAAAAATATTCAGATAATAAAGAAATTAAGAAAGCAAACATTTTAAGAGCCTTTCTTTTTTTCCCCCTTCATTTCTTAAGGGAGGAAGGAACCCAGCAAACAGCTAGTTACTATAACCAATTATTTAGACATTGCTATTATGACTTAGGGAAAAACTAGAAGAAAATGAGGACAACTGATTTTGGTACGTAAGAAAAATCACCTATGGGATTTAGTGCTCTGTACAGTCTCAAGGAACTGGAAACCTATTGAATGTTCAAACTGGAAGGGGTATTAGAATTCCAAAGTTCTCATTTTTATTTAAAAAGCAAAACATAAAAATCCCCTAAAAACTAAAGCCCAGGGAAGTTAAGAATGGTTTGCCCAGGGCTAGGCAATTTGTGGCAGACTGGATCTGGAACCCAATGCTGTTCCCTTTCCACATGGTCAAGTACGTAATGTTTGAACATGGGATTGTAGAGCTAAACCACTTCTTTGAAAATGAGGTTAAAAAGGGCAGGAGAGGGAAAGAGGGAAAAACAGAGAAAGGGAAAGAGGGGGAAGGGAATGGAGAGGGGTAGAGAAAGGAAGGGGGGTAGGGAGAGAGAGAGGGAGAGAGAGAGAGAGAGAGAATATGACCACTTTTAAACAAGAATAAAGTCAAGCCTACCTGAAATAGGTAGGATGAGGTTTATACTCACACTTAGAGTCATAGGCTATAGTGCTATCAAGAAATATGTGAAATATATTTTTTCATATATGCTAGTAATGCCAGTGTGAGTAGGACCATTCAAATAATATTGTTCAAGCCTCCCATTTTACGAATGAGGAAATATCTTGAGACATTATTTGATTTTGTCTGCGCATGAGCTTGGGTCTTTTACAAGGCATGCTTTTACAAAGCATGTTCACAGCATGCTGATTTTTAGAAAGTTTTAGGAGTTTGAAAAACATAATCTACACATAATCTAAAGGCTTTATGTATTTTCATTTAAGGCTATGTCTAGCTGTTTTCATTAAATTGATGTGAATGAGCTTTTTATAATAACAGATGGCTTTAGAGTACCTACAGATTGGGTTTCAAGCTAGAGGCAGCAGGGCAAAGCAGATAGGCTCTGCACTTATACATAAAATTAGATCCCAGTTCCAACTAATTTATATACTGTTTTTTTTTTTTTGAGACCGGCCGCACCGCGCTCAGCCAGTGAGCGGTGACCGGCCATCCCCACATAGGATCCGAACCCACGGCGGGAGCGCTGCTGCGCTCCCAGCGCCGCACTCTCCCGAGTGCACCACGGGCTCGGCCCTAATTTATATACTCTAAGCTTCAATTTCCTCATCTGCAAAAATGGGGTAAAGTAATGCCATCTACAGGGTGACTGTGAAGATTAGGAAAAATGTAAACTACTTAGGTATTGCTTGCCACATAGTGTGAGCATAATCCTTGCTAATTAATTCCTTTCCCTTCTCAAGCTAAAGGTTTCAATTTGAATGCACTGAAAAATATAATTCTAAACTTTGAAAAGAATTTTCGCTAAAAATTTCACTATATAGGCATCTGCATATGTGAGCTTGTATGTATATAAGATAGACTTGTAGATAATCACTAGCCCATAGGATGAAAACTAATAATAATAAACTTTTTGGTAATTCTGTAGTAGAAACACAACTTTTAAGTTGTTCTTATGAACATTCTGTTCAATGTAGACCACTGAGGAAAAAGTGGGCTGTCACTGGAGGTTACACTTCATATTTTTATGATGATATAAAACAGGCATCTGTTTCTCAGTGACAAGTGCTGCCTGTTTCCAATACCTTCTCTTGCCTGCTTCATTCATTTACTTGACTTCTCTTAGCTACAGAGAAAAACGTAGAAAGGATATGGGTATACTATATTGCCTGCTATCCATATCGAATTGTATAAAGATGAGCAGAAATTACATTGTCTTGGACACTGACTTCATAATTCTTTGATAGGGATTTAAACTGCAAATATATTATTAAATCATGAGAAAGAATCAAAACTGTATTAAAATATATCACAAAAACTCAGTTTTGTCATATTTGTGATAGTCTAGATTTCTGGATATGTCAGCACAATTCTGGATTTCACTCAAAAATGTTTAGTTACTGAACTACCAAAAGATGCTTAATGCAAGGTAATTTTAAGATAGTGAAGACTTAGAGAGCCACATCATATCAGTGTTTCCAGTAAATGAATATGGCATAATCTGGCTATATTTCCTAACCACTGTATCCTCAAATAATACATTAGATTTAAACAGAACCTAAATATAAGTTATATTTTAGGGCCAATGCGAAATAAGAGGATACACAGTTTCCAAAGGGAAACTCTCACCGTTGTTAGCTCCAGCGATACAAGTTCAATAAATTATAAATTGCTAAAATTACACATTACATATGCACCCCTAAGGGGATATGTGAAGATGTTCTCTGGACCAGACCTTGTATGGCAGGACTGGGCAGCAGGGTTATTTGCTTTGCATCTCTCCTTTATGAGGAACTTCAAAAATTACAGTAGGTAAATCTACACATGTAATTAATCAGTTCAATAATGAAATGTTTTATGGTTACAGCTCTATCAATAAACGGCATGAATATGAAATCTAAAACTTCATGTGAACTTGAATTCATATGTCATAGTACAGGGAAATGTGAACAATCATAACTAAAACAAACAGTATCCTAGCAATTTGTAAAAAAGAAGATATTCATAAACTCAAATTGCTAATCACAAAAAATGTCTGCTGTCAATTTTAGTGTAATTCCCTTTAGTTCTTAGGTTTTTCTAAATTATTGTTAAAGCTTTAGGAGGCCAAATGAGCTTCCAGTAATAGCGTAGAAGTCTCTATTTTCCTATACTGTGTAATACTTAAGTTTCATTATTTTCAATTCTGACTTCACAAATGTCAGTAAACTCTGATAAGATGGAGTGTTAAAAGTCCCCAGTGTTTTTGGTCCTTCTTCTCTCCCTACGATTTTTTTTTTTTTTTTTCCTGCACATCAGGAAGATGTCAAGTGTTCTCACTCAGATAAAAATACTGAAAAAAGACAAGCCAACTCTTTCTCACTCTGAAGTCTTTGAAATCCTCTAGTAGGCTCAGTTTTTCAGGCACAGACTCCAGATGGTCCAAGGCCACTCGGGTACTCTGAAAAAGAAAACATAAGGCAACCAAACATTATAAATAATTGATTAATACTGTCAGAATCCAAATACTGAAAATCAGATGTATCAGTGGTATAAGCAGTCCAAGCTGTATATTGAGAGAGTCAAATGAGAACAGATATAATAGTATTTCCAAGATAAATATATCTTTTTAAATCAGAAGAATTATTTCCTTTCAAAAAGTATATGAGATGTATTTGCAAGACTGACTCAGATACAAAAACTCTTTCTGGATAATTGCTTTCAACTGATAATGCTATGAAACTTTCTATAGAGCATTTCGTATTAATATTAATTTACAAATCTGCTTCAGTGAACATCAGAAATAAACCACAAGGTAATACTGAGAAAAAGATTAACTTGCAGTTACTTATCTATGGAGCTTATTAGAGATCCTCAAATGTAAAAAAGAAAAGAGTTCTCAGTAATTATTTTAGTTAAAAAGGAAATAAGGAGCAGTTCTCAAGAAATTAAACATTTGCAACAGGGACACAGGATCCTGTTGATTATAAATCAATAACTTATTATACAGTCTATGATTATCTGGTCACTGTTACACCCCCCCAAATACAAACATTAGTAGGGAATGATCTGAAATTTATTTGAAAGCCAATATGAAATAAGAGGTTAAATGGTAGAATAACCTTGAGACCAGAGACAGTATAATATTCATCTCTGTATTCTTAGTCTTGTCACAGTGCAGAACATATTAGGCAGGCAATAGATGTTAGCTTTTAAATTGAAAATGAAGTGTTCAATAAAATAAACAACCCCATAGCTGGAGTACTGGAAAAAAGTGAAGTGTTCTGCAGGAAGCTGGAGATAAATTTGCACAGAGCTGCAGCAAAGTTAGTAGCCACCCAATATTCCACATGCTCCTGTACCTCTCTCACGCGAATGGTTCTGAATAATGAACTCTGAGTGTGTTGCTTCTGGACTGAGACAGATGAGTCCGTGTACTCCCTCCTCCATCCCAGCCCCCTCCCCATGGGGACCTTGGAGGCCACATGCTCCCAATGGCATAGCTACAAGACAGAAGACACCTATTATAGCAGACTTCATGTGAGTGAGATGCCAACCTCTATTGTGTTTAGCCATTAGATTCAGGGTTTGTTAGTTACCAATGCACAGCACAGCATTAATTATCACAAATAACTCCTACATTGAGTTAAGTAATTAAATTGTAGGCTAATCAGGTGGTCAACTGACATTTTTTTGAGGGCAGGCAGTCTAAATTACAAGTTTGTAAGGATTCCTTCTCAGGAGGAATTCTGTTTTTTTTTTTTTTTTTTTTTTCTTAACCTTCCCATTTGAAATCCCCTATGTCCCCACCAAGAGATGCTGCTCCCTGCCTGGCATGTCTAAGCCAGAGCCTCACTGATGCAATTTCTCCAGAGCATATACTTCATGGCTCCCGCAGAGTTTGGGTAGGGGCAGCGATGGAGGTAGAAGGTTGAGTGTCTAACTCTTCTTTACAGACACTTTCAATGTACCCATCTCCACCCCTTCATTCTGCAGTAATTGTACCGATCACTCCAATTTGCCTTTCCAGAATTCTTCAGGGTGAATGACATTTGCTTTCCATTATTCCCACTGCCATCCCCTTGACAGACACTGGGGTTTCACCTTTTCTACGGCAAGTCCTCTTACCACTTTTCAACGTTCTGTGTCTTGGAGTTATACACATCTTCTTGTTTTGTTACACGTAAATCAGGTCTTCTATTTCCTCATATCCTTATTTTATAATGTGAGTTTTGAGAAAAGGGCAGAAACACACTTACTTTGCCATTTTGAAATAAGAAGTCATATGTGCTATTTCTATAAGTTTATAAAGTCTTCTTTTTCAAGGTCCATTTAAAAGATTTAGTATTTTGTTCCTCCTGCTTAACATTTATATTATTGTTAGTCTTTCTGCTGCATATACTCAAATTGTCATGCATTTTAAATGACTTCATTTAATTTTTTCATGTGTAGGAATGATTCATCAAAATGACATGTTTCATAATATAGGCCACAGCGTGTAGGAGAGCAGGTAGTTTTAGCAGCCATACAGGCTATGTTCATTTAAATAATAAAATTACAGATTTTCCCAAGAATTATATTGGCCCTTGAACAATAAAATACAAAGCAATGCCCTGATGATTTTAAAGCAAAATTGGATGCATTGAATAAAATCCTCTTCATAAACATAGACTCTAGTAATACTTGTAATATCATCTCATAATTTTTCTCATTCAAAAGTCATCCTCAAAACCTGGGTTCAGTATGTCAAACTCATTTTGTTCTCAAAATAAGCAAATGATCTCTCCCTACAGTAAAATCCAGCACGTCATGCAAATATTTTCACTTAAAATTTTCAATCAGCCAGGTCTGTATAGACCATTTTTTTCTTGCATGTGCTCACATACAAGTTTATTTCGACTATTTTGTTATTGGAATGTGTATTCAAATGGTACATTTTTGTGAGTGAACCTGAAAAACTCCTTGGCTCCTTTTTTCTTAAATGCAGTTATTTTTATGCTCCTCTCCTCCACCTCCCCCACCCCATGTCATTATTAACTACTATTTATGCTTCCTCATTATTTATTTCAGTTGTGGCTTATTTTATATTCCATTTGTATTGCTTCTGAATATCTTCCTCGATATCAGAAATACTTTCTGGTACAGATGTCTTTCTCTTCATCTTTATATTCTAGTCAATCGATTAATAACAAAAGCATATCTTAGATATCATAGAAATAGAGCTACAAGACATAGATAGCATACTTCCTGTTCTTTAAGAGCATTTAATCTACTGGAAAGAAAAATATGTATATGCAAAAGATGTAACAATTATACAAAGAAAATTAATTGCAGCTATTATATGGAAATTGCACATAGAAATGCTGAGATTTCTAAGGCATCTATAACAGTAAGATATGACTTAATGAAGACAATGAGTCTAGGCCTATAGGCATCTCAGGTCTCATAGTATGATTTCATGAGTAAGTGATATTTTGGGGATTACATTTATTTTCTGGCTCTTCCCTCTCTCTCTCTTTCTCTCTCTCTGTATGCTTGTAAATGTGCTTAAAACCACCACTTTGGCATATGGACTTAAGAATATGTGTAAGTTTGCAACTTTGTTTTTTTGTTTTTTAAAAGGTGAGATTGGCTGGGGTTCTATGATTAGAGTCTTTTCA